GGGTGCAATTTCAGCAGCATCGCTAGTATGATCCAGGTATGCATTAATCATTTATTTCTCCCTCCCCCCTAACAACAGCTTATATATAACTAAAATTCTCTTTTCTGAAGAGAAGAGCCTAAAACTAAGTGAACACAGGTGCATATGAAAAGCCTGACCAGTGATGGTGTGGTGCTTTTTTTATCATGCAAGTAAAGAAAATCTCAAAGGCCCGCTGTAAATGCCAACGTTATATGTTTTATTTTTAATCAAGTAATTTTTTTAAACCTCACAATATCCATGACTGACAGGAAAAAAAGACATTAGGCATGAAATGAGAATATAAAATACATGATATGTAGAAAGGCAATCAGTGCTTTAGTCCCTCAAGACAGTAAACAGGTGAAATGACCTTCAAAACTTCAACTCACTGTCTTTTTTTTTAAACATAAAATTCAAGTGATTTTTCTTTTATTTCACCTTGTAAACAACATACAAGTCAAAATGGACAATGAGGTAATCTATACTACAGAAGATAATTTAAAAACACTAGATAAGACACAGTATTAAAGACATATAGAAATCAGTGTTCACTTTGGTCTCTAGTATGGTCATTGTTATTATTACCACAAGCAACACATACTAGTTTAAGCCAGTCTGGTGATGTTTGTCAGCCAGTTGTTGCTTAACTTAGTAATCCAAGAGGTAGTCAAAACCATTATCCTTCGAAAGGTGGTTGCTCTTGCATTTGGTTCAATGACAATGGTAGCAAATACCTTGGTACTTTTCAACATTCTCATAAAAACACTCCCGAAGCTGCTAAACTCCGGTTTAGCATAAAAAAAAAGAAGCGTGTGTTCATAGATCAACCTCTTGCTATGAGTCAGCAGTTGGAACAGGGGTAACGCAACCAACGGATCTTAAGGAAGAGGCTGTTGATATACTACGCAAAAGATCGATGCATTTAACAAGACTCTGCTTGTTTCTAAAACAATACTCAAATCTCATTAAGACTTCTAGAAAATTAAAATCAGTGCATCTGCACATGTACATATCTTCCCAATTACTTTTATATCTAGCACAGGGGAATACATATATATTTTTTATGATAAACATTTCTTACAGATAAATTAATTAAATTAAATTTAAGACTCGATGAGATTTCCCATGTTCTTTTATAATTCTTCTTACAAAGAATGTTACAAGATCTATAAACACTTTTTATGGGGCTCTATTCACAAAACTAAGTATGACTAAGCAGGAACTCCAGGATAACACTGGTGCAGAGTAAAACTGGGCTGAAAAAGGTGGCCTACAAAGGGAAGAGGCAGGATCCAAATGCGGTGTTTGGCACTCCCTGAAAGCTAGCCAAAAGCAAAATATTGCAAATGGTATTACAATGCCAGATCTACCATTGACTGCAGCAAAAAAGTTATTCGGCTCTGCCTCCAAATACAAGTCTTCCTCACGGCCTAACTTTTGTGGCATGTAAATAAATACCATGACCTCTCCTGGGTGGAAGAGTAAAAAATACCTCACAATGTCCCTTATGATTAAATCGAATTGAGTATTCTGGGGTGGGAGAATGGGAGGGAGAGATACTCTTGTTCCAGGTTTAACCTTATCTCCAGTATTGTTAGGAGAAAACCACATCTCTCTCAGCAGATATTTGAACTATGTCTACTCAAACGAGCTTTATTGTGAAGCATTCTGGCAAGGACAGGCTGGTGAATAGGGGAAATCTAGGCTGAGCCAATGCTGCAGAATATTAATTTTTGTCCTTAGACATGAAGGAAGAATGCTAAACTCAGTCTGTGCCTCTCTCTTTAAAGCGTACTTTGCTTATTTGGAGCAGCCTACTGAAGGAGTACAACTAGATTATTTTTTTTTTTTTGCTACTGCAGCCCAGCGCTAAGTAGGTACCTGCCGCAGCCTGCGCTGCTGTATGTTTAACTTAGGCATGTACATTTTTGTCTCTTCTGGAGATGCATTTATTTTCATGAACAGTGCCCATAATCCTTTAGACAGAAAAATAAAAACTTTCAAAGAAATGTTTGGAAACGTCTCATAATTTCAAATGGATGCTTCATCTTAAACAAGTATTTGCCATAATGTATGCAGTGGTGAACTATCAGTTACATATTTAGTACAGATAAAAAGTATGTACCATAGATCAACAGCCACCTTTAAGGCTAGAGCAGCATAAAGGTGTGTTTATGCAGTAAATATGAGGTAGCATTTTGCTGTAAACAGAATAATAATTTTATTGTCACCTATGTAAACAAAGTGGACTTGATGCTTTTGTGTTTTTATTCTTCCCCCTCCACCCCCCCCATCCCCCATCCCTCCCCTCCTAGAAAAGCTAAGCACCATTAACTCCGACTGGAGGTCAGCGGGAGCTGCGGTTGCCCAGCGTCTCTGAAAGCTCAGACCCTGTGAATGTAAAGACACCAATGCTCACATAAGCAACCAGTACAGAATACCACTTTATCATTTCACAGGAACTCATAATACAAAATGCTGAGATCTGATTATCAGAAATGTAGGTCTATGTCAACTCAGAGGTAGTTACTAATATCAGTACATAATACTTATATAGAGATAAAAAGGTCTAAGACTACTTGGTTTGTTCTGAGTAAGCAGGTCTGTAGACTATTCTGTAAAGAAAAAACAACATTACATGGTATATTCCCTGAGCAAAGTTCTTTGTCCTGAGTATGTTATGTAATAGTGATAACATTCTAATATATAAAAATAAAACCTTAAGCTTTCAACAATAGGATAGGGTTTGGTATGTGCTCTTAGCAGTTCAGTCTGACTTTGGTGTGCACAGCGATTTCAAACAGCACCAATTAAAATCCGCATGTTGAAAATATTTCCTTATCTCAGCTCTGAACTTCTTACATATAAACAGGGAATGACCAGTTTTCAAATCCACAATTGCCTATTTCTATAAGGAACTTTGGTTTAAATTTTCAAAGTGACCTAAGTTTTGCATCTTTGCTGTTTAACCCGGTTTTTACACCGGCTAGAAGGTTAAGCAATGCCACTTTGATTTGTCTACATAATTTAAATAAGTTTACTATCCTTGCGTAAGGCAAGGAAGTTCTTCTCTATAGATCTATCACATTCAATATCGTCAAAGGTAAGCTTTGCATTAGCATACTGAGAACTTCAGTATAAACCATCGAGAGTCGCGCAAACACTGGCAAGGAATTCACACAAAATAATTTTCTTGAAATTGTGCCCTTCACTGAGGCGTTTGATTACTACCTGTTTACTGAAGCAGCAGCAGCAGCAACAGTAGAAGTCTCAACTGGCAGGACAAGCGGGAAGGGGAAGGCCACATAATGAGTCAGCTGCATACCTGTTGTAACTACTGGCTACAAAAGAGTTACCACGGGTAGGACTTTGGCTCGCTGTAGCCTTTCATGCAGGCCGCTTCTTTAGTTTGATTATCCGAGCTTAAACCTACCTGACTCCTTCAAGCTTTAACAGCCTGTGTTTATTGCCAATGTTAAGGATTATACAGGTTTCTCTAATTAACTTACATCCGCAATGGGATTTGTCAAAGTATGTTATCTTACGTATGACTTGGTAGTTCAGAAGTTACAAATGGAAAGCGACTTGAAGTTTTGATAGGCTCCAACTCTATTAACCCCAAGCAAGGGCTGCAGCCCAGGGAGTCTCACTCTGAGGCCACCAATCTTTCTCCTCTTTAATGCAGAAGTGTGTGGTCCCAGCGCGCTCTGGACCAAGGCTGGTCAGCGAGAGTCTCCTGTTCACAAGAAGCAGATGATGCCCAGGGCTTCTGGCAAATTTGCAGGTCCTTTCACTCAGGCTTGTCTGCAGCAGACACCTGTCCTTCTTGCCTGTACACATGCTGTATCATCAGCAAGGGAGGCTGGCTGAGCAACCCCACGTACCCATCTACCTTTATTCTTAGGAAACTATTTATCCCAGGATCTCATTAGCTTTGCATTTCGTTTTCTTTAAAACCAGAACAGACAACAACAACAAAAATCCCTAGGGAGTTCTCTTCATGGCATTTCAACAGAAAACAAAGGGCAAGTCCCTTCAAACTGAGGGCCACTACTTGGGGCCAAGAGAAGTTGCTGCTGCTGCTGCTACTACTGCCACCAAGGTCCCCTAAACAATCACAGAATACAAAGGGTTAAACAGGATGGTATCCTGATACCACTCAAAAGGGTTTGTTAGGTAACAACTTACACATTCTCCCCTACACAACAGTCATCTAAATTACAGTTACAACCGTATTAATTTGAGAAAACATTTTGAGAAACCAGCACAGAAACTACACATTCATTGTCTTGTTCTGGAGCTTTAAACCCCTCACCAACAAAGGATGGTGAATATGAGAGCCGTGTTGAGTCATAACACTGCCCTGCACGGGCACAGGGAGGGGTTTTGATACTTTGTGGAGATGAGAAAGAAAATAACTCAAACTGATGGCATGGGGGATGTCTTAGTATCTTTAGTACCATATGGCAGTTTTAAATTATGAAAGTATCCTTTGGTTCACAAGAGAAGTAACAGTCTTGATCTCAGGTCTGTGTGTGGCTTTTCAGGTTTGGTTTGGTTTTGAATGACATTTTTTGGGTTTTGTTGATTGTTTTGGGTTTTTTTTTGAACATGTTTGGTAACAGGTTCTAGGAATGAGTTCAGGAACATTTGTGGATACTGTGCCTATTGCTTCACAGTAATGTCTTGTGGGAGCTGGAGAGTGGTCTGATGGAAAAAATATATATTTAGAGATATGTACACATACACACACGCGCGTGCACACTCATACACACACATACAGAAGGTAAAACATAATGCACCCTGCTCAAATGTATTTTGCTTGGAGTGATTTGTCTATCAAAGAAAAAAAAATTCACAGTTCCTTAACAGTAGTTAAAATTCCAGGTCAGCTACTGATAATGAAATTATTTCCCCTGTACTTGAATGAGGTAGACATCCCAAAAGGATAAAGAAAATGGAAAGTTATGACAAACACATTAAGTTTTTTTCCTTTTCTGAACAGAAGGCCCCTTTCTGCTTGGTTCTTCGGGCGACGCAGACAACTTACTCGATGAAGCTTCCTGTGGTGACCTTCCCGAGCGCTCCGAGATCTCTGACCTGCCCTCCTGAGAGTACGATGGAGACGAATAGCCGTGCGTTCCTCCCCCTTCTCTCGGGAAAGCAGAAGTGGATTTAGCTTCATGTCTTCCCTGAGAACTAGTGGGCTGCTGCGAGACAGTTTTGTGGGGGCAGTTAGCCACCATGTGCATGATGCTCTGACAGTAATGGCACTTCTTTGGCTGCGGAGGTAGACTACATTCTTTAGCATGGTGGTCAAGGCCACCACAGTTGTAGCATCTAAAAAAGCAAAGGGAGACAGCTAGTTATAAAATGCAGTGTCATTTTCCGCATCAGGTAAGCTCAGCATGAGCGTGCACAAGGTCTGCTGGTGAAACTGGGGGCTTCTGCACTGATATCCGTATTGGGTTTGTGTGGCAAGGTTTTGGTA